AAAAAAATGGAATAGAACCAAAGGATTCATGTAGGCAATTTCAAATTTACTAAGAATAAGGCTTAGAGCATTTCTAAAAAAACTCTTTAAATGTAATTAGCTCTCAATTTTAAAGAGTCGATACTTAAAAAATAAACTCCAAAAGATTCTCTTTTTTAACTTTTTAAAAAAGAAAGTTGGTCTACTCTATTCTTACTCTATTGTGATTGTACTTAATGAGCTATAAATTTAAATGCTCTACTTCTTTAATTATTAAATCGTGATTGAATTGATAGGCATGTAAAAATATATTAATAAAAGATGAGGCAAAATTGCATCTTTATTGGAAAAACCAAAATAGATAGCATATGAATACTCTCTTGGAGATGCTTTTAGTTTGTTGTTATTGATCCATAGCTCATGTCAATATTGTGATGATTGGTCTCATCGATTAGGCTGAAATGGCAAGAACTCAAAGACATTTTGAGGGCTTTGGTTTCAATTTACTAGAAAAGCCTTATGATTTCCAAGACAAGTGAATGGCTTATGGTGTATTATCCACATAAGGATTATCTACCTTCCCATTCACACGTCTTAAAACACTTTTAAGTAACTTTATTTGGCCAAGCATGTTTGAATATATTACTTTTTCCTAATTTAAGCCCAAATAAATAAATAAAAATAATCTAATTTTGAAAATAACTCTTACCTTGCTGTTAAAATAAGTACCTTGTTTGCACCTTTGATCAATATAAATTTATTTATTTCAAAATTTCCTCACTTACTTTTACTTAAATTTACTTATGAATAAATTTAAGCTTAGTTAAACATGCTCCAAGATATATATAACTGACTCGAGATGAGTAATACCTTTCCTTCAGTTTTCCACAAAACTTATAATAATCAGGAAAGCCTTGCAGCCTTGCACATTCCCGTAGAGTGAGGACTCTATCTTGCTCAGGGTGCAAAATTGGCTGGACAGAAGCAAAATATTTTAATCAAGGAATGAACACCCAGTATCCCAAGAAAGGATATTGCAAAAATAAGTGGGAGAAAATTACCCGTGTGTGATGATCAGGAAAACAGAAGACAGTTGCCACAGTCTCATCCCACCACAACCGTCTGAATGGTCTGCATTTATGCATAGAAAGAAAAGAAACTTGAAAAAAGCTAAGAAACAAAGAAAAAAGGGGAACTGCAATACTCCTTCCACATGACATGTGCTCACTTTGTAGACCTTCCATCACGAAAACTAATAGCATAATCAGGTACCTGATCATGACAAGAACAATGTGTGAATGCAATTTAAAAGCATCATACCCAGGGCATAATGTCATCATTAAAAATTATTCAATGCAGGTCAAATTCAGCTACAGATTTTAGAAAGGTTTTAAGGAAATATAAATAAAATAATAATGCTATGAAGGTCTTACATTTCAAATAAATAAAACAAAGTAATCCATAAACTGAATTAGAAGAAAATGACGATCAATTTCTGATTTGTGATCTTAGATATCTTGAGAAGAAATTTGTACACCCTAGCTTGATGAAATCATCTTTAAAGTATACTCAAAATTCTGCAAGATATAATCTCTCTCAAAAAACTCACACAAGACGGTGAATTTGATCAATCTGGCTAGTGTAGCTACTTTGTAGAGTGCATATATCAGGAATAATTATCTGCTACAGGATTAACATAACATTTCATGCAGCTGATTCAGGAAGTTAATATTGGCAATTCAACAGATTGAAGTGCATGAGAAGAAAGATTTTTACTTGCAAGATATTTAATTAAACAATGATGTGGGATTAGTTTCCAGCTAAATATAAACTGGACATATATGCACTACCCATGGCTTTCCAGATGGCATCAAACTTTGCTCCTCTGCTCGTCGAACAGAGTTGTCGGATCCAATGACAATGCCTGGAAGGTCTCTAAAACTTGCACCCTGTTGAGATGAAGTAGAGAGCTTAACATCAACAAGAGGAAGCCAGAAGAAGTGCACAAATTCTTATTTACAAACCTTTCTTTTAGGTATTTTACAAATCCGCAAATAGTCATCATTTCCCAATGGATAAGGAAGGTGATCATACAGAACAGGATTCTTGCGTGTGCTTGCACTGCTGGAAGAAGAGTCCATCATATCTGGAGAAAAGAGAAAATAAAATCAGTCCAAACCCCACTTCATTCCAGAAGAAGCAATCTATGCTTTCATGGTTATCAAAATCCCTATCCTCCCCACCTTCTGGCATTGTGGTTCAGATTCAGGTTTGAGCATGGGCCGAAATGTGACAATTTGCTCTGATGACCTCTAGCTACTGATAT